GACATATTTAAATGAAACATGGTCCCCGTAAAGACTATTCCTTGCAATATAAGGTCTCAGACAAAATAAATAATTAGTAGCAAATTACTATATGAGCGACATGGATATACTTCAGCTACGCCCATTCAATTTCTAAAAAGTGTGCATCTCAGTTTTTTACTTCTGTTATTATTCCTACAACATCACACTTCTTATTAACAAAAGATTGCATGAGAAAGAATCCGTTGGGAGTGGAAATTCAGAGAAAAACAAAGTTATGAGCACTGTCACTGGTAATGTGACTAACTCTAAAGCTTTTATTTGAGTGTCTTTACGTATAAGAAGTCAGTAAATAGCACAAGAATTGTAGGACAGCGTTCTATTCACGAATCTTCACTACTGAATTGAATGTCTGAAGAGAGCTTGGCATAACTTGTATCAAAAAGGCATTTATTTCAGTCACAAAAATATATTTTTAAAATATCGATATTAACATTCTGTTGAGGTGATTTTCTACTGTTCGAGACATTGCCAATGTTAGATACGTAGCACAACCAGAATCTGAAAGCTTAGCTCAAGCATTTTTATTTATGAAATATGCTTTCCTTAGAAAAAGGAGGAGATTTGAGTGGAAAAATGCCTGAAGATTTATCTGGCTAGCTTACATGACTGGAATGATTTGTGCTTTTAATCTCCATAAACTAAGAAAATCGATGGTGGGACTAATTTGACCCTGAAACTAGCTTTCACATGACTCTTTCGTCAACCGAAAAACTCGAAAAGATAACTACATCGATAACTATATCCTCAGCTTCTATATCTGCACGTTGTCTGATTAATGCATAAGTGTATGTTAACCATTGTGCCACTCTCTGTAATCAATCGTTTATAGCCAATAGTTCAGGAATCAATTTAGGAAACGGTCATTAAAAGCCAGTTTCAGGATCAAAAACCAGTTGAACATAGTTCAAAACTGTTAGTTATTTAGATGATACAGTGTTCTGTGTAACGCTAGATATTCAAGATCAAAACTGATTTTCTTCGAGAGTTTTCATTCATAGTTAGTGATTGTAAATAACAGTGCGTTTTATACTTGTGAATGAATGTGATTCATAACTCGAATATTTTATTTTTGCTTAGATAATTAACTTCACGTGGATAAACATTAAAACAGAAAGGAAATGAAATGTAGAGTAGAGTTTTGTCCCGCCTGTAAATATGCAATACGATAAGCTGGGGTATTTTTAATGTATTCTAATGTATGGGAACAAAGTGAATGTCTTTTAAGGTTATGTAAACAAATGGTATGGTAGTTAAAGGATAAAACGTCGATACCGTGAGATACTGAAGGATTTGCAGATTCAGATGCAGAACAGAGACAGTAGCAATGACTTCACTTATTTCTTTTGTAGATAAACTTCATGCTGTTTGATGCATAAATCCCTCCACTCCACTCTTCTGGTGGTGTTGATGCTCAAAGTTTTATAAATGACCTTGGAAGAGGAGTGTCATTGAGCGAAGTGACCGGGGCAAATCAAATAGTTTACAGTTGAGCTGTTTGTGGCTTTACACTTTCCTTTAGACAACTGACTAATCATTTTTATCATGGGAGTGAATACAATTTATTTTCAATTTTAACATTTATCAGTCAACAGTGCAAAATTAACCAAGGCTCGTTATCAGTTACTTAGAAAAAGAAATCCTCTGAGACGTAGTTTTGATTCGTAGGTTCATAGGGATTGACTGATTTCAAGGTTAGAGAACTTTTGAAAAATTGGGAACAACGAACAATTGTAGTAGTAGTAGCAGTAGTGTGCACCCTCGACCTCAACAAGAGGCAATCTAGGACCTTCCGGTCTCAGTCACTGGGTTAGAGTTCAATGGTCTATACTTCCCTACCTCTATCGTACTGCAATACAGCATGACGACCATCCAAAGTTATCAGTGTGTCCTGCTAGGCAGTCGTATACTAGAACAAAATATCTGTCCAGAGTTCTCAAGTTTTCAGTGATTCTGTAACTCATTTTGGTCCATGATGAATTTAACTATGACTATTAATTTTGTCTATCCTCCGTCATATGATGCATACTACTGTCTATATAATTATTTTCAAGTCTACTTAATGAGTTACATGCATTCTTCCTGAAAAAGAATACCTTGACTTCTGGATACAAACCATTGACTACTAATTATATCTATCTATTTTCCATTTGATAGACGCATGTAGGTAACATAACTGTAAAAGTAGAAGAAATAGCTACCAAGAAATTATTCTTTGTTGTCTGACTTTAAGCGTGTTCTAGAGGGAATTGTATTTGAAAAATACTTAACTAAGATGTAAAACGGATATTTTATAATAAATTCTGAAACGAAAAGTTAAACTTTATACGACGGCTATTAACTATCTAAAAATTGAAGGTCAGAATTACTAGGGATTCTATTTAAACGGCTAGTTACAGTTTCTCTCATTCGGAAATTCCGGCAAATAAAAACGTTTTCTGTTGAGTTCAAAACCTATGCAAGTTGGCGCAACTTTCACGTTTAGAAGTTTTACGACGTAAAATCCCATTCGAAATAAAAAAATAATTTCTTCATAATCGCCGTACAAATTGATAAAAGCAATCACTGTCCACCACTCTGATTTATTTTTATCTTCACCTCCAAGGTCTTACTTCAGAAATTATTGCGGCTTTTTAAAATTTATTTAGTTAATTTATGGCTTTATAAGTGCACTACGAAACACTTTCATACAAGCAACATATTCTCAAGTTATTCGTATTTACTAGAACCAGTGTTAAATAATTTTAATGTAGGCAAATCCAGTCATGACCCACTAAACAAATAATAGCTTAAAACATAACGTTCTGTGTTCAGAGAGATGAACTGTAGCTGATATTTTCAGTAGAAAATCAGTTCACTGAAATTTAGGTTTCTAAAGCTGTCGATTTCAAAATGAACCGCATTTTGTCCTGTATGCCACTGTTATTTGATATGAAATATGATGGTAAAAGCTACTGAGACAGGCATGCGAGGGGTTTCTGTCATAATACATCGATCAACTGGGTCGCGTCAATCACCTGTTAGAAACTTAACCCTTAAATGAAATTCAGCCTACTTGTCACTTCCATAAGAAGCATCACTTTATTTTTTCTTTCTCTTATTAAGGTTGTCTTAAGGGAGAAGAGAAAGAAACATTCTGTAGAAATGGACAGTTAGATGTTTATACCCATCGAACACATTTACAAAACTGGCAGTGTGTCAGATCTACCAAGAAAGAGACAGTTCCAATTGGTAGGTTAACCATTTACCTATTTAGTGTCACAAATAATGATGATTTCATAATTTCCATGGTTAAAAGCCACTGACGACCAGGATATACCGAACGAATGACTCATCACGGTATGAAGGTATTCAGTTTGGTACACTATGGTTCACTGAAGAGATCGAATCTGGGACATGTAAATGTGCCAGGGAACCCAATATGGCTCATTTAGTAAACCCGAACTGAACTACGGATAAAGCCTATATTTATCGGTCAGAGGTAATTGTACGGCTAACAAAGGTTTAATTAAAGCTATCCATTCATTATAAAAGCTGTTATTCTATTTAAAAAAGGACACAGACTGAAAGCGATGAGGATACTAACAATATCTGTTAACGTTGCAAATCAAGAAACCAGTAAACAAAACAACTTAGCCCAGTGATGCTCGTCATAAGCTAGAACAATTTTCAAAAATCTTTACAAATCGTGGTCAGTCTCAATAAGACTGTCAGGTTACATAATCTTTTTGTTGCTGTTGATTGATGTATGACAAATTTCGCTGAATGATGCATACTATCAGAGATGACATGATATGATCTTTTTATTCGCGATCATAAGTTATTATACACAAGCCACCTCAAGTGACAATAATCTATGCTAATGATCGACAATAACCTTGTGTGAAAATGTTTTCCTTAGAGCGTACACCTAAAACATCTATTAATGGCCGATATCAAGTATTTTTGAAAGTGTACTAAATCGTACAGAAAGCTGTTTTATGGAGAAACTCACATCTTTCTTCCGAAGAATAAGAAAATCCTAATTTGGTACCTCAACATAACAATGTAGGGATAATAGATATTTATTTGCCTTCAGTCAACTTACTGTCAGAAGGAACAACTTTACGGTCTATTCATCAGTCAAATGAGATGGCAATGTGTTGACAGTTTATCTGTTCGTCTCGTAATATCCGTGCATGTAAGCAGGCAGAGAAGAACTAAATCATGGCTTTATATTATGTGAATTTAAGAGTTCTGCGAATAATGTTATATTACTTCCCTGGCATTTTTCTTATTCGTTATTGCTATCAGTGGGTGATGGGTACTTTAAAATTGCTTCTTTTTGTTGCAGTCTGTTCGAAGGCAGTGAAAATCAAGTATGGTGAATGCAGACCTCAAACCTGTCGGAGACCTGTATTTCTAATCAAATCAGTAGCTGATCCAAACAACTGTAAATGTAGACAACACCAAATTGTTAAAGAAGAGCGAGAATGTTGTAAGTTGATAAATCCATTAGCAAATGATTTTTAGAATTCTGTCTGTGATAAGTACGACTCCGAAGTGACTTCCTAATGAACACAAATTTAGTTGTAGTTGTATGAAAAAATGGCTAAAAATCCTGTTTATAACCAGTTACATATTATCCTACTTGTATCTTAATTTATAAACTGACGTTATACCTTTTGGTGATAGTTATACTATTTTGATAGGCATGAAAATAAAATCGGATTTTCAGTTATATGAATGATGCTAATTTCAGGTTTTAGTAACCAGTCAGTTTGTCGCAAACTGCAGCCAATAATGAGTGTTTACAACTGGTATGGTTCGATAAAAACTTGCAATATTATGATTTCTGTTCCTAGATAAAGTATATGTTTCACTCTTGTCTGTTTTAAATTATGCATCAGATTAGAGGTTATCAAAATCAATCAGGAATTCGGTGGTTAGAAAGAAATGTAAAACAAAACAAGGCTACTTTAACTGACATTTCTCTATTCACTGCTTATAACTTCACAAAAGTAATAGTTAACCAGAATTTACAATACACTGTATATATCATGCCCTCTTTTGAGTTTTTCTGCATGGATGGTTTTGCGTTGTCGAATTGTTGAGAGAGATTTTGCGCAAATGTAGTGTGTAGCATGTAATGAGTGCGTCAATCATGGACTGACGTTTTTATGTACGCGTGTGCTTATAGTTCTTATTGCATGCGTTGTACCAGTAATATCAATGTGTGGAGATGAGTTTAAACTAGGTCACGCTGTTTTACTCATTCATTCCTACACAAGCAGTTTTTATCCTACTTTTTGCAGACAGATTCTGCTGTCAGACATTTCTAATGTCGACATTGTGAGTTGTAGTACGTAGAGCTATGGCTGTCTACAAGTTTTTTGTCTTCCTTACTTTTCAGTAACAAAAATTGGACTTAAAGTTAGATGTATTCCTCATCTTTCGCTCTGAGCTTCATTTCGCAGTTGTTCTGTAGTGTGATTTCGTACATGACTTCATACATGTATACAAAATATCAGTGATGATAAACCTGATAATTACTCTTGTTTTAAAAAAATCTTGTTTTACTTTTCTTCGCATCAGATGTGCAGGAATTCGTAACTGAAGTGTGACTCAATATCCTTAATTCACAAATGAAGTACAGCATCCACAAAACTGTTTTTTTGCCCGCAAAGTACTGGAAGTAGACTATTGCCGAAAAAATAGTCCAATGAATAGTGTGAATAGTTAAAACTGTTTATACTAATCTTCAGGCATCGTTAATTAAATCTAATTGGCTGTTTTGATCACTTTGCGTCAAGCTTACCAGACGTGTACTGACCTAGATAGAGTTCGACGACCATTATTCTATTAATTAAAGCAAAGACGCTAATAACGGGGAAAATGTACGCGATGAAAAAAAATTGGCTAAACGAAAGGTTTAGATTAGATTACTATTCGTTTTTGCACCCACTTAAGAAATTCACCAGAACTCGAAAAGCTTAAAGAACACTTTAGTTATGGTAATGATGGATAGTGGTTAGCAATAGAATCCAGGGTGCGTATCTCGTTCTGTACTGGACTCATTAATGTGATTTATCCCTCTCCGAGGAAGTAGCTTTGTCCTCACTAAGACTGGAACTCCACACTTGCCGCTTCAACAATCAGTGCTGTATGCATTGAGTTACTGACTCACGACTTATATTCCTTGTGCGACGAGTATGGCTATGACCATTGCTTTGCATCCAAAAACTTCAGGTCATACGGATGGCTTTCATAATTCTCAAACTGTTTGGAAGGGTTGAACGGTGACAAGGAGCGTAGCATAGCAGAATTTCTTTGTATGAAATCAAATCAAAATAGTCTAATTAGGAGTGAGCTAGTAAACTGATATTTGACCTAGTTTCAACCTCCCATCATTAATCCGTAAAATCAACCTATATGAGATGAAAAGTATAAATAATTATGTGTATATGCATAATTAAAACTCCAGTTCATGTACTTATCACGTCAAAAATACCACACACGTGTTTTTGAAAACAACTGTGAAATAAAAAATTACCAATGTTGAGGGATTCAACGAAGTTGTTTCTTTTAGTGTTGATACTTTTGCGAGTTCAGAAGTCATTCACACAATAGTGAAAAGTTTAGGCTTTCAATTATTAGGAAAAAAAAGGTCGAAATAATCAGCAAGAATTCTGTTTATACCAAAGTTTGAGATATCAAGTATCATTCCGCTGCAAGAAATTATCTAGATGAACTGTAATATACATAAATAATTTTCATATGGATTGCGAAGATACCCTTCTTTTGTCACATTGATATCATTTCCCACAGGTCTGCATAGAAGTATCAGACAAAGTTTGTATTGTATACAAAAACAGTTGTTGATTGTTTGTATAAACTGATAGATAGTTCGGCTGAGATGATAATAACCTATAGACCATTGCTTATTATTTGAGTAATTATACCATGAGTGTGTAAACCAGCCAATTCTTTACTTCATTTAGACTACTGCGTAATGGCTAGTTATACTTATTTGCCTAATTGTGAATGCAAGACATTCTTATTATCCTTCTTTTATTTTAAAGTTTTTGATACACCAAATCTGCTTGAAATGTCAAGGTCTTTTTGAGTAAGATATATAGCTGTTTATAATATTTATGCAGTTACTATATTACCACTTACAAACTTGGAAGGCTATTGTGTTCATGCCTAAAGTGTTTGCGATCAAGACAAGATGATGTCAGACAGGCAGACTTAAAATGGTGACTGTTATTTTACCTGGCCATCAAGCGACTGGAAATTTTTACACACATTTAGCTAACATCCTTATTTTAAAAAGGCATGCAACTTTTATGTTAAGCATATTTTACAAATTGAATGGAGCTAACTTTTTGACACATTTCAAATGTCAGAAGACGTTTTCACAACTTAGCTTTCGAGTGTAAACATGTACAAGGATTTAAAAGGAATTTAAATCTCTTAGATAGTGTATAGCTTCCAGACAAAAATTACTATATCTGAGTGTCCACTTGGTTTTCTTTCCAAAACCTAGGTTGCCTTAGAAGATCTCACCAGCGTCTTCTATGTGTTGGGAACTGCAAAGTAGTCATACAACAAAAATATAAATTTGATGCCGTCAATGAGCGTTGTGTCAAAGAAAACTTTATCCGCCGTAAATGTCCTAGTAAGTTATTTTATTCGAACCAATCCATTCTTTTGTTTTATATGCTTCGGCGAATGACTTGCGAGAGAAATTTTGCCATTGATTTTATCCCATACATTTGAACCTTCGTAGTACAGTTTACAAAGTATTTTGTTCTGCTTCTCGTAATTGAAGTAAAGTAAGGTGAATAAGGGTGTGTTTCAAAAATAAACACTGAAAATAGATAAATAAAATTCAAATTTGGTAATGAGTATTTTAAAATGAACCTTGAAGGTCATCACCTTGTACTTTGTCATCGGTGGATTTACATTTAGGACTTTTTATGTGACATTTGAGGTATTTGATCCGAATGGAATCAGGATTTGACTGGTTCCCAACAGCAGTACATTATGTACAGAAAATGGTATCCGGCTGATGACTTGTGAGGTAACTGCATTCTGTCTCACGAGATTCTTCAACACATCCATAGGGATATTGGAAGGAAAATACTTAAAAGCGTTTCTTAAGTAATACCAATCGACAAAAAATTATGTCTTAACACTTGATCAACACTGCTAAGTATAACGTAATGTTTAATTAATATGAGAATAAAATTTGGACCCTGTATTATTATTGTTATTAGTTTTCCCTTGAGTTCCTAGTGGAACACACTCCATGAGAGCCCTCGATGCTCTTTGGGGCATCATGATAGCCACTCCAAAACTCAGTGTGCTTGTGGTTGTCATCTGGGTGACAATTTCGGAGTAGATTATTGACTCCGCAGTTGACAATTTGGAGAGTCCACTTTCATTCCATTTGCTTTCTCAGATTTCAAGCACTTCCATGCCATATCTCCGCATCTCTTTCGCAATTCGCACAACCTTGCTAGGTTCATACATGGTGTGGATATTGCATGTTCTCATCCTTACTTTCGTTTTCGTCTAGAGATGACACATCGACCGACTGGCTTCCTGAAGGCTTTCACCAACCGGTGTCAATTAGTCTCTCCGATTCCAGAGAGGAATAAGTTTGTTTTCATTTTTCACAATTTCTTTGTGCTTTGAATTTTTCTTAGCGACTGGATTGGGTTTCCGGGGTAGGGTTGCTGGCCCTATGCCCAACGTTCCCTCCTTATCCGGGCTTTTGATAGGCTATTAACTAGTCAACTAGTTAACCAGGCGAGGTTTTGGACACTGTGGTAGAGTATAATTCCATTACAGTTTCTTCCTATACTCATTACACAGTAAAGTAGTACTACGTATTGATGACGTTTCGAACAGAGTTTTTTTGTGCATAACTATATCAAAGTGCAATGATTATGGGCAATAAATACTGCACGAAACCCTATCAGTATATAATGCTGTTCCACTGTGTGATACATAAGTATGATAACCACCAAAGAGCGAAATGTTTACTACCACTCAGTTATAATCAAATGTAGTTGTTAAATTTACCATTGTATCAATTATGTGTGAGATGCAGTAACTTCTCAAGAAATCTGCAAGCCGACTATTGAGTTTAAGTTAACTGGTCATAATCTGTATTTAAGTAGGTCATATTACCACCTTAATTTGTGAGTTGACAAGCTTTAATGTCATAACCTATATATTTGCACAAGCAAGCACATTTTCTGAATTGAAACGTTCTCAGAATAATCTACCAAGAAATATAAGAAAGATGAGAAGTTTTGAATGTTTGTTTAGAAACTACACTGGTGAATTTGAATCTTTATGTAAAGCTTTGAAGATGATCATGGAATCTCTATAATTTAAATGTAACGACTTCCTAACTAAAGATTATAAGGCTGTATATCCTTCTTAAATTTCACTGAAGTGAATAACTCGGGATCCATCTATCCAGAAAATCTATGCGTAAATCCTGAAACATTGTCATTATGCATAATGATTACCAGTGCAGGTACATTAGGTTAGTGATCCATAAGCATCACAGAACATGAGATACTGATTGTTCCGTTATTCAACATTTTTTTTATTCTCATGCAAGGTTAATGCTAGCAATAATCAGTCAGAAGTGGGCGTCCTTAACTGTTAGCGAATGAGCTTTTGTACAGACGCCTTAACATTACCTGAAGACTTTTCACCCTGTAGTTTTCCTGATAGTAACTAGCAGTGGAATCTAAGATAATGATTTTTCCTATTTAGGACTGTTTATTTGAGTGTACCTGTGTCGTAGTGATTGATGCTGTTCCCTTTGAGATTCGAACTCAACAGTCATTAATTCAAACGAAACTAAGTTATCCAACAGTATATTTAATCCATAGACAGTACCTAGGCATCCAAACATGAACCCACATGCAAAACAGATATGGATCATTTCAGACTCGTATAAAGAGTTAAAGAAATTATCAATAAGTAATAACTTACACACGTTTCTTTACTCGGTAGCCTCTTGGGCAATGCTGTAGTGAGTGTTGGGCTCTAATGTCGGTGTGGATATCATCATTCACAGGATTTCAGATACATTCTATTGACTAGTCCCAAATGGGACGAGGTAACTAACCCGGATTCCACTGGTACCCACCATCAAGTGGATTCCGCATCTTCTCTTCTCATGTGCCTAAGCTTTATAGATTTAAACCCTTTTCTTCTATCCCGTCAAATACACTGTTATTCCCTGTGGGTTATTTAAGTACACTTCTCCTTCCTCCAAGCCAGAAGTGACTCCGAAGTCAGCTGATGTGACGGTAACGTTAGTGGGATCGAATCCAAATGTAGCAACCGGGAGGCGAAAGGAGTAGAAAGAATGGACTGGATTTGCCACACATTCAGGCTAAAAACATATCAACAGTGATTCAAAAAAAAGTAACATGAAGGTAATTTTGTATAAAACATAATTAACGTTCATCAGATTCAGTAAATAATTCAAGTAGTGAAGATTTTAAAATATCCACCATTTTATAATTCTATCTTTCTAGAATGTCCAAGTCCTAATGTACTTGAAGGCACATGCGACACAACTGGGACATGCTTAAAACCAATTCGTCATATCAATTATGTGATCAAAGGATGTCAGTGTCAAAGTGTAGAGCAAATTCGTCATGTACGCTGTTGCTGTCCAGCTCCAAGACAATTGGGAAGCAAATGTTTAGCAGACAAAGGAATTATCCAAAATAAAAATATTTACTATGAGTTAGTTAAAACATTGTATTCTGCCATAATTTTTATTTTAAAAGAATCTGCTTGCATTCATCTCAAAATCTGATGCTCAGGATGACAGTTCACGTAGTCTTCTCTCAGTTGGACACAAAGTACAAATTTAACTTCTTAAGTAGAAAGAGCTATTATTACAGGACATGGGAATTTTCTGATAATCTCATGATCACATTTTTTCGTTACTTCTGCTCAAATGGACTAGTTGAGATCAAACTGTATGTGATGAACACTATTTTAATGTGAATCAAATGAAATTATAATACCCAAGAATATTGAGATCATGTAGGGTTTTTTTTATATCCCAGGTATCATAGAGAAAATAATCAGCTAAATTTTTGGATACATATCTGTTTTTTACATCCATTAGTAGTTCAAACAACCAACACGACTCCATAGTTTATGTTTCCAGTAATAGTATACGTTCATGTACTTACAAATTATGTACCGGGAGAAAAAAAAACGTGAATTCAGAGCAACTGGATGATAAGATTTCGTCTTAGTGATTTTCTTTAGAAGATTGGTAGTGCTTTAAACCAGTGAGATGACATGACCTGAAAATCTGGATTCTGAAAAACCTTGAGCAGTTTATTGTTGGAATTTGAAGATACTTTTAAAGTACAATAAATGCAAAGCACACGGTCACACATAAGGGACTGTTGTAAAGTTATCACTGAATTTAGTCACAGATGTTGAAGGTTTCAAAAATAGTTAAGTATGTTGGTGTTACTGTTTAATAGAAGGATCACTAGGTTTTGAATCTTCAAGAAATCAGAGTGACTGGAAAAGTAAAAAGTAGTTACTAGAATCAGTAGTCTGAACAAGAATTCACCTAATGCCAAATTGTGAGAGCTAACAAGTCTGCAGTGAAAACTAAGCCTATGATAACAGCCTAAGATCGCATGATGCCTGAAATTGGATACGTTCATGAATGTCACCCTAGTAGTAGGACAACTATGTGACATTTTTATCGTGTGTAAGCATTTGTGGTCTGTTTCGCTTATCTGAACGGACGAGGGAAATTGACCTCTCAAACACCCATTGTTTGCAAAAGCCGTATCTACCTTTGGTGTTCTCACACTTGTTAGTCAGTGACGGAATTAAACACATTTCGAGAAATTCGCAACCCTTTACTAGCAGAACTACAGCTAGTGCTTTTATTCAACTGGAAACCACTTCTACAGCATGATAAGTTGCAAATGTACACACAAGACATTGAAGCTTCAGAATTCGGAACATACTTTACAGTTTATTTATCATTACCGCAAAATGGTTTGAAACAATAATTAACTGGTGAAAAGAAAGAAACCAGGATATAACGGTAAAATTTAAATTTATATTAAATTACCTTCATTGATGCAGCACACAATGATATGGCATTACTTACTGAATAGCTTTTTGAGTATAATTCATTCCCCATAATTATATCAAAAACTCAGCTCAGCAAATACAGCACATTTCTGTGCTACATTGAATGAGCGACCTAATATGGTTACTAACTAATGCTATGAACTAAATGATGTGCGAACTGTTTTTAAAAAGGAATAGAATAATAAGTTAAAATACATCCGACCAAATTTTACATCTTCCTTTCTCTGACTCGTAACGACAATATCTACAGAATTGCCGAAATCCCTCAATTACAACTGAAGAAGGCATAACAAATGCAAACCATTTCACGATGATGGAATATTCATCTTCTGGTCTCCAGCTCTGATTATTTTCCTACTGATTTTATTTTGCTGTTAATCCCATCTTCAGATTTTCTGATTACCTTAAATTATCGACATCAATTGTTACAATAGTCGAACTTTGCTGAAAATACAACACAAGTTAAAAGCCCTTTTTTTTCTTCTTAACAAAACCTAAACCAGATTGGAAAAAGATCGTTGCATAAAGCGCGTAAAAATTGAAGAGAAACAAGTAATCTGTCCCCAAAACATAGAAAAAAATTTATCAGGGGAAAATCAGTTCTGTGATCCAAATTCATGTCTGCAGATTGTAACAACCTTTAAATGGAGCAGAATAGGATGTAAATGTATCAAACAACTGTTGACTGTACCACAAGTGTGTTGTTGTACAAATCGTATAGCTCAAAGTAAAAAGAACTGCTTACCAAATGGAACCATCAGATTGGTAAGTCTTTATGTGTATTCTATTTTGAGGTGTTTTAATACCATTGACATTGGATCAAAACATTTAAACATTCATTTTTAATGCGGCTTAATAGAAGTTAGACAATTTGGATCTCACCACCTAGTTAAAATCTTTGTCATAGTTACAGTACTAGTCTTTTCTAAAAAATTTAAATAATTTCGTAGGTTTTGAAATCTGATAGTGTGTATTGACTACAAAATTCATATCCCTTGGCTTATCGGAGGATTTTGATTGAATGTAACTGTTTTCAACAGTTATTATATAGTTAATGTCAACTTGTGTTTAAAACTAACATTAAATCAGTCACCTCACTCCGAACCACCTGGAATTACTGACCTTTAAGTAAGAAAGTTCGAATAGAAAGTAATAGCCATTCCAGCCAAAGGATTCTACAGTGATGAGAAAACCTCAAGATTAATGCTCAGTGATGATCATGCTCCATTAAGAGTTAAAATGTGTTGGAAGATGTAGATGTGTGTATGTGCATCCTACAGTTGAATTGTGAAGTGCTTGCCACGAGTCCTGATGGTTCTAGTTTTCATCTTAAATGCAAACAACAACAATACTCAATGACTGTCATTGGTTCTCCAGTTCATATGAGCCTTCTAACGTTACCGTCTTGAAATAATCCCTTTCACCAAGAACCACTTGATCAAAAACCGGTTTTCCTATATTTTGTTGTTTCAATCAAATACTTTTGTATCAGTGGAATTACCACCTTATATTCTTACTGTATAAGTTTCAAGGAAGTTTTTGTTTCTCAGTGATATCAGCTGGAGCATTGTTAAGCACCTAAGAGTACAGGACATCTGAGCTACTCTAGTTAGGGGCTCTTCAACAGAACATGCGCATGACCCCATCATGGCAAAGTTCAGTTTTGGCAGATGTTGAAGAAAGCTCCTTTTTATCATAGTACAGAGTTCGGACCCAGTTGTTTACTTTTATTAAACCAGTCAATCTGCGTTTTAGAATAACCATCGTCCAGTGTCGTCGATAGGCATCTTCCTCACTCTAGAATTCGTTGGCCCTACCAGTCATAAATTCATACTAGTAGTCCAGGAAATCTGTTCCCAAGTAAATCATTTATGAGCAGTAGACAGTAATTTAAACGGAAGTTTGTAAAAATTTATTGATTCTAAAATATTTTTCAACTGGAAGACTTTGAACACAATATCAGGTCAGTACAGTATAATACATATTATTTACCAACAGTCTGGCACATATTTAGCCGATCCCAAATATGTCTTTCTATTCGAACAAACTTATGGAATTCAGGTGATCGAAATGAATTGTCTATATGTATGTGTTACAGAATTGTACATACACATATACGATCAAAGTGCCACCAAAATAACAAAAGGTCCATTAGTTGCCCAAATCAACCTGTTGCTGATGGAGAAACACAGTGAACACAATGAAGTGATGCAGGTCACTGTAGCAATAGCCTTCTAAATTGATGTTTTGTCATGATTTTTAGGTATACCGCTCAAATGTTTTCTTTGCATTCTAGTCAGTCTCTTGTAAAACACTTGACTGCACGCAACCTACATGTGTTCAAACCTGGAAGAAGAACATACCAGCATTCACTATTTCAGATTGTTGGTTTGACCTATGTATTTACTTAAATTTATGAGAACATTGTGTTACAAATGGATATCAAGTCATACTGGGCTGGTGTTAGGGCATTTTCACTCAGCTTCTTATCTTTATACTAGGGGACTTTAGAAACAAAATGGTCCATGTACTAGTGACGACTATTTTCTGTAAAGCCATGTGCTTTGTTCAAAAGAAAGTTTCTTCCCTCTTCATAGACAGAATACAGGGAACACTAAACGATACGTTGTACTTGCAACCTACCATTATTGATTTTTCCATCGAGGATACTACTAGAACACTTCATTTTATAAAATCGTCTATACATAGCTTATAGTTTTTAAATTTGACCTAAAGTCGGACAAAAATGCGTTAATTCACGTTGCTAAGAAGAACTATTATTTTCTGAATGAGGTATATACTATTAAGACCAACCTCTGGAATTCCCATTTCCATTTGTTCTTTTAGGTCTGATGATATACGAATTCCGGTTCTTATAGTGACATGCCAGTTAGTAATAATAAATATATGAAGGCAATTAATGAATAGTGGGGAGCAATTACAGAATTATTTTAGTATCGAGTTAATAATGTGGGCCAACAGAATGGTTACAAATGACGCAGAACTGTCGACTAAAAATATTTGACTGTGTGGTATAGTAATGCTACTCAACAACTAGATACGGGCTTGTTTGTTACTTCAAAAGTTACATTTATTTTATAGGTACTAATGATAACCATCAACCCATAACTTTGAAATACGCAACACGATTTGAATTCATGATTCCTTCTTTAAGATTTAACTACGTGAGATAATTTGCATGTTCTGGTACAAAAGTTGATATGTCCCCTTCCCATGACACCTTTAATTTTATATCCAAGTTTATATGCATCCTCGGTAGCAGTTACATTGGGAGAACAGAGAGAAAACATACCGAAGATCATTTGAGCGCATGTCAAAAAGCCTGCCTCTCAGTGAAACAAGTGTTCTCAGTAGTACAGTCACTTGGTATTCTATCTACATAAGACATGAACTGGTAACCTTAGAATCCTTTGAGGTACTAAACAAACAACGTAATTACAAGATGCTTGTTTTTTTACAATTAAAAAGCCGGTAGGTTGAGGGCTAATTTTAACTCCACAAGTCAGTTTCATTTAAATGACTATTTTGCTTCATCGTAAAGATTTAAGGAAACATTCATTCGAGTACACTCAGACATGAATCATAAGTTAGTCTTAGTTGCATGAGTTTCAGTAACTCTGTGTCACAAAAAGAAAGTGATCACTGGCTCAACATCTAAAACCCCGGAAAAATTGATTTATCATTCAAATAAGGTACTCGTGGATACCAGGGAAACACTTAAGTTTCTGAAATTAACCTCAACTCTTGCAGCAGACCGAACAAAGCTGTTTACCATTTGTTAACCGTCTAAAGTATTCTGAGAAAAAAAGCATGTATATACTTAAGGTTTAGCTAGATAGGACTCGCTCTTAAGAACTGGGAAAAATTGCCGCAAATTATGAGCATTCATTCAGTCAATTTTCGTATCTCCACATAGACTTTGCATACGTATCACTTCTGCATGTGTCAAGAGTCGCTCTAAAGTAGACTGACCGTTGACTGAAAGGTTCAAAAACAGGTTGGATCGTTTTATACATCTCGTTAGTTAGATATTATTATTATTATTATTGAGAACCAGTTACCATGTATACTTATGAGTAATTAACTGAAATTCATGTAGCGAAAGTCAAAGTAACTTTTGTGACAATACTGTCAAATAATATTATCATTAGAAACTGTTTTATTAGCATAAGATATACAAACGTCTAAAATGTAATAAATTCAATAAATGCTCAGTATTACTTCGTTATATTCATGGAATGTATAGACTATTCAAAACTGGAAATTCAACAATGGACAATGTATCAAAGTGAACACAGTCAAAGATCTACCACCTCCTTTATGTAAACCTCAAGAAGTGACATCATTGGGTCCATGCGACAAAACATCTGGGATGCAGCCTATTTTGGTGACGCGATCTGTGATTGAAGAGTGTGAATGCAAATTAGTGTACAGAGAGAAACGTGACAGGATATGTGGTAAGTGGTGTATATTTACCAGAATACTACATTGTACATGACATGTGATCAGTTTCTTGAAAATATGTAGTTACGGAGACAGAAGATAGACACGACGGAAAGAAGGTTTATCACCAAATTTGGAACGGTAGTCGTTACATATGGTAAACCTTGCAGCAAACCCGTCATTTGAAAATGTTCTTCGATTCCTCTTCTGTTTCCCTCTTGAGTTGCTCTTCATACCTTCTTATCAGCAGCATCCACTGTAATACCCCTGCGTTATCTCTTGCGTTGCTCTTGGCAGAATCCCGACCCATTGCTGGTAATTCCCTATGATTCCTGCCACCCCTTCAACATACACTACTTATATCCATTCTTATCAGCAACGCCCACCACATAGTATCTGTAACGAAGAGGTAGAAAATTGAAACAAAAATTTGTTCATAGTCTCTACATTATTATCATGGTGCTATGACACCTTGGCTCTAACGTCAGAAACCTAGTTCAGTTTCCGTCTCTTTGGTTACTAGGCATTCTACCTGATTGTTTAATGAATGGAAGAAACGTATTGCTGCATCCCCATCTCAGGTCTTTGGCTCAGTTAGCTTATCATATTAAAAATTGAAAAACCAGCAAACTAACTGAGAACTAGATTGAGTAGAACATCAACTGAGAGACACTAAAGCTGTACATAGACTATATTTAGAAGACGACACTGTCTATTTGATGTCATCAAACGTAAAATGTTTCATATATCTGAAAACAGTGACGAAAGGTTGAGTAAGCGAAACCAAACTAAAATCTACAAAGCAGAGAGTGTGAACAGCAGTGGTTTATTTTAACCTAATGCTTTGATTCTGAATAGGTAACGGACCATTACAGACGAAACATATTGACATTGCTGATTTTCAGTTAAATTGTACAAACTTTCCATTTGATTCTCATGTAGCTTGTGAAGCTCCCACAATTCATGTCAAACCGTGTGATCGGATCACCTGTCTTCAACAAACCACTACAATAAAATGGGCACTTGAAGCAAAAGATAATAAATGTCATCGTTTACATCCTGAGATCAAAATGCGACCGTGTTGTTGTCGACGTGAAATTGCAAAAGACAGTATATTCAAAAAGTGCATTCCCACCAGCGGTAAAACTGAAATCACTAATCGAACTTACCATTTTAATATCAAGAGAGAAATCTGTGAATTCAAAGACCAGAAGAAATATACCGATCTATGTGAGTTATAAGAAACTTTTATGTCGTATACTAGAGTAGTTTTTATTAGAATTACTACTATGAAGAAACAGAGACGTAACAAATTGCTAGAAATCATTTTGAGAAACACGTTACAGCCCTGAGAAGTCACTAACTCCTAACAGTGTTTATATCACCAAGTATGACTGGTTACATTACTTTTGCCGTTATTACATTTTCCTTGTGCACTGTCAAAATAAATGTGGAAAAAGGACAAGTGAAAAATTTTCTCACAACTCGATATACATCATTTTGACTAAAGAACCACGGGGTATACTTATCATTACTAACAGAAGCATGCGAAATTCGCATTACATCTGGCAGTTAAAGAGAAGTTATGTTTGCTGAACTGATAACAGCTCAACAAAAACATTTAGAGAAAAACAGGAAAGTATAGGCATTCCAGTAGTAGTAGATAATTAAAAGAGGAAATTTTCCAAATACACGGACTGGTCATTAGGAGGTAATACATGCAGCTGTCAAGTTCTCAGTGTTCAGTACTGGCTGAGGTACACCTAGCAAGTTTACAGTGTGGTCGCTAATCCGAATGACAGCAGAATATAGTGCAGTATACTTTGGCAGTCGGTGTTTTAGAGGGAACACCAGTCTTTTCACGACTAAATACATCCCTCACTGATTAGTGTTTTTAGGATTTCGGTTGAACAACTCAACACATAACGCCAAAGTTAACCAGTATTATTGGTTAAATGTTTGTAAGTATTGGAAAAAAGGGCAGACTAAGTTTCTAAGATATTTTTATCAAGAGGAGACAACTTCGATCAAAGCGAAATCAGATGTTCAAAAAGATATCACGAAAAAAGAATTCTAAAGTAAATTGATAATCCATTAGGTTGAATGAACAGATAACTGTAAACGTTGTTTTCACATATTAAGACTCATTACGTCATTTCACTGTTGTCTAGTTCAGAACTGTAGTAATAAGATGAGACAAAAAAAATCACAGTTGCAGTGTTAAGGAATGCACTCGGTGAAAGATAAGAAACACTGAAATACTACTCAGTCGTAGAAAGATACTTTAATTAAAGCTTTCCAATTAAACTAACATTTTAAAAAATTTGGTTTATCAGTTAGCAAACTTCGTGGACAAGTGATACAAGTGGCTCTGGAAGATTATTTTCATTACAGTGACCAGTTGCCTGAAGTTTTTGAGTTTTAGCTGATGAATTTGCAGTTTCACATACATTACCGATTTTTGCCAGTGAAGTGATATATCTGTCATCTTCTACATTAAGAAGTATGAAAAATTAATTAGAATTAATTAACGGCGAAATATTCATACGTTTGTAGACAGAATCAAATACATGCACCAGAGATCTCCTGAGGAAATTGTTTAAGTAGCTGTGAAGAGAATATACAACTTACACTATTCATTATATTAAAATTTTCTCCAAAGACATTAATTCATGCTTGATGAGTAATACGGAGTAGATTGATAACTTGCTAGTATTTTTCTGAACGTATCTAATTATTTATTAATTGCCTTGTTCATTGATAGCTTGTCCAACTGAAGCAAATGTTATCAAAGGTGCTTGTAATCTAGCCAACGGAATTGCTTTAGACAGTATCACTTCATGGGAAAAAATAACATCACAATGCAAATGTGTTCAAAGAACAAAATATCAGAAACGAATATGCTGTAAGTATTTTTGTGGCCTCCTAGAATATATGACGATAAATCGAAGACAATAATGACAGTTATTTCAATGCACTGAGAACCTGTCGAAAAACAATACACCTAAGGATAAATAGCATATGATGAAAATTACATGGGCATACTTTTACTTGAGTATACCAGAGTGGCATAACAACTCACATAAGTTCCTGTCTTATTATTCACTCGTTATATGTAATACGTAAGGTCAATTTTTTCTTAAGGATACTCATTGATATAAACATCTGAAGATATGTTAACTACAAGTGACTGTCATTCACGCTTATCCTCAAAGAGTGTCAAACTTCAATTTTCAACTTAACATTTATTTATGGTCATAAAAGTACGTCAGGTATCATTTGATTTAAACATTTTTGTCTTAGATTCTTTTGAAAATAAAATGTATTCAAGATCAGATCACTAGATAGATGAATGTCCTCACCTGTTCTGTAGCACTTTGCGAGAATCATTCAAAGTGTACAGCCTTAGTGAAATAGTAAAATGGATAGGTTGATTGACATTTTCTTGCCCATGCTTTTTTCCTGATTAGAGTTTACCGACTAGGGACATCACGTGTCAGGCCAGACCGTCGAGTGGAACCCCGATGATAAGCGACGAGTTGGACGTCCGAGGCAAGGGTGACATGGAGTAGATAGTGAGAGGAGGAAATTAGAGCTTGTGGGCTGTCGAGGAGCCAGGTTCAAAAGATTTCAGAGAACAGAGTTCACTGGATACGTGCTACTAAAGCCCTATGTTCCATTAGGAACCTAAGGGACAAATAATAATGATGATAATAAAAACTTCTATAGACATAACTACAAGTAACACTCAAGTCATACCGAGCAAACTAGAACCGGGACCAGACAACTCTCAAAACGTCACTTGCATAAATCGCATCCTAAAAAACCTCCTTTAACTTACTAAGAATGCTGCAGTTGGGTTTTTTGGTTGAAAACCTCCACACAGTGGTTAGAATTTCGTCGGAGTCTGCAAACAATTTAAACACTGTTTCTTTGGGATAGATGATATTTTAAGTTCAGAAATCATAGGAATCTGGTTTACTTTTGATGCTCACGATGAGTAGCTACAGCGTTAAGTTATTTCTTCATGGTAATAAGTAATTTGCCTATTTTTCATTGTTCACAGCATGTAAACACTTGGATAAAACCATGAAAAATCCCATTTGTTCTGAACTACATGGTATGTTAGTGAGAAAGAAGACGGCTCATACGCTTGAGAATGGAATATGTTTACCGAAAGTAATCTGGCTGAAGAAAGTTGTAGGTAAGTAATTTTCATTCAGTGTATATTTATAATTTTCACGCTACTGGAAAAAACCAGACAGAATTACAGTCTTTACACTACTAATTCATGAACGTCGCCTGAGAATACTTAGTAGCTGACATTAAATTTGTGAATTTTGCTCTCAAATAAGAATTAACATAATTGTAGCGTCTTCCTCTACATAGAACACTGGTTCCACTTCTGTAGCATCATTACATTGGTGTTTTATCAATTCAGTGGATGTTAAAGAACGGTACCATTGTAAACTCCGAGATCACCACTTTCTTCATTGTTTGCACCTAACGTTAACAACAATAGTGAAAACAATTAGGATATTGTGGTATACTATAGCTAACTTTTACATTCAATTCATTATACTTAAATTCTATCCCAGTCTAGAAACGCTGTCTAAGATCATAACATGTACAACGATAAAACTGAATGTCTTTAATTATTGTTAAATAGGTTCAGTAGACCAACGAGTCTATCTCATTCCTGGTGGCAAACACTTTATTAAAGTCCAGCTTTGTCCTGTTAATGTTTTCCGGAGTAAATCACGCAGCTGTCTAGAATAAAAGCTGTCGATCCTCAACTACGTGGTATGCGAAGTAGAGTTTGACAAGAAACTGATTAAGCTGCAAGTGGCGAACCTTATTTCAGTGACCGTCAAAATAATCACATATCGAACCGTAGCTGTCAGTATGTTCAAGTAAAAACACTTGTGTAAAGCACAGTCTGAAGATAACTAGGACATGAAACATCTTGTTTCTTTAGCACAATGAAGTATGATGTCTTCCCAGGTCTCAGATGCAAGATTTCGCTCATTCACTTCTTGTTAGTGTATTTGTCTGCTGTACATTAGACTTTTAAAGAAAATTTGATCTTGATCATTTAATACCAGAGGCTAGACTGTGAACAAATCTTTTTTTAATCAGTCAGTGTTTAATTATAACTTCTACAGAATAGTATGTGCTGACTATTATGGATTTTATCAAACTAAACTTCTGTCTTAAAAAACCTCTGTTTAAGATGTTCAATTTCTATTTCCTTAATTCTTCACCAGCTACTTACCAGTGTCTTATGTTTCAACTGCCCCCTAACCTACTAAGCCATAGCTACTACTGTGTAACTATAGTACCAGGCAGTAGGGTAATGAGTTGTGAGAAAATTTCTGAAATGTATTGATAACACATAAATACTACAGTTTACCTACAGACCAGTAGACTGAAGTGAAACAAATAATCATTAATTATCTGAAATTAAATTTTGCATTCATTTAAGTCTTCCAATTTAGCCAGCAGAACTCATGACCAGTATTTTCAAAGCAGTTAATTTGCATACTTCCTAAATCTAGGTTTTTCTTCAACTTCATCAGTCTTGAACATTTAGTAGAATTCTTCAAATAACCCAGCATAATAAGATATTCTTATTAGTTGGTCATCAGTCTCATTATTCTTTGACTAAGCCAGGTAGTTTTGCTCAAAAACAGTTACTTGAGTATTTTCTATGGTGAACTACTGACAGTAGCATGTTTCTTGAAAAGCAGGTAATGAAAAATTAAGATGACAACTTGTTAGTAGTTGAAAGCAACATCTCAGTAGGTAAATCTAAGTACTAGTGTGCTAGATTCTGCTAGCGGGAAACTTTCTAAAATTCAAGTTTCCCTTTAACTGAAAATGTCACATCAAAATACAACATAATCGGATTAATATAGACAAAGCCTCTGTAGTTGAGGGGCACTTTTCGAAGCCTTAACAAACAAAAGTATTTTTGACGGAAATCTTTTCAGAGCTTAAGTTTCTACAGTTATAGAAATGATCATCGATGGGCTACCGAAAGCCTTATCACTTAAAAATAAAAACTGAGACTTATAACAAGTAGTTCTTCAAATCTAAAATAATCTCAAAACGTGCTGAACAGTTATTTAAAGCTTTGTTTTGATATACTGACAAAAGGATCAGAGGCAAATGTGACGACACCGATAGTTGTCGGATGATAATTTGAGATCCCAAAACTATTTTACAGATAACATTTTAAATGTTGCTCTTGATAAAATAACCAACTTGCCTGCAGTTATCGCACATAAAATTGCCATATCTATGAATGTATTCATCAATTTTCTGTTGATACACTTTCTATAATCAAATGTTTTTCATCGTCACTACTTGAACAACCACCGGAAACGAATTACTAAGTATGGTCATTTAAGTTACTGAGCCACCGAGTTAGATTGTTGTTGAAACGGCCCACTGCACAGACTTATTTGCAGTATTTTCGAAGAATCCAAGTATAAAAATTAGAATTTTTACTTCATTCCATCAGCTCCACTCAATCATTATTTTCCATTCTCTTTTCCTCTTAGTATGTTCAAGTCACAAAAATGTGGATAAAAAATGTGATCCTGTCACATGTAATCAACTGACCACTATTAGTTGGTTCGACCGAAAAGAGTGCAAATGTGTGAAGAAGGTGCAATTTATTCAGGGAAAGTGCTGTTGCCCTAAACCAGTAGAGTACCGCGAATGTCATCAAAACGGAAGTCTATTAATCATTAAAAAAGTAACATATAACCTAGATGAAGAAAAAGGAATATGTATCAACCAAACGGACCAGATACGTAAGGATGTCGGTAAGTAATGACTGAATAATGAAATAAGTATCATTTGAAAGCAGAACACACATACATATATATACATATATAAATATAGACGCTAACAAACAATTCAAAGTCACTTTGACCTCAGAACCTATGTCTTTCGCATATTTTTTACTTGAATTTTTTATTGATATTTAGAAGCCTGTCTCACCTATGAACTGCATTTTTACTGATAGTTTTCGGCAAAATGTATCGAAAACGTCAGAGGAACTCAAAATTCCCCCGTAATTCGAATCTGTCCTTTGAGATAAAGGTGACAGATGCTTTCAGGTTAATAGTACTAAAAATACTTTACTTACGGGAAATACCAATCATCGTATAAATGATGAGGGATTTTTGAAAAAAATTCAGCAACTAAAGTCCAGAAAAGTTAGGAATTTTCAAATGATCATTCACTTCAACTATATTGAAACTCGAAGTGTTGCTTTCTTTTATGTCCACACTCCAAAGGGAATCCATAAGGCATATTAAACATGTTTTATAAATCAGTGAATATGATGCAGGTTAGAATCCTTTTCTACATACTTAAGTTTCAGTGGTCACCTGTTGTTATTAACCTTGATAAGTAACTTACACCAAGGACATATATGATACTCTTTCCAAGTGCTAATCAACAAAATAAATGGATCAGAGTTTTGCAGCACAAAATATTTCCTAATTTTCTCTATTGATATGATCATAGAACCCATAGGAACGATTGTTAGGCTTTTATTTTCATTTTTGAAAATAAGCAAATCCTCAAACATACCTTTTTAAAAATTGCTTTACTAGTATGCAGTGTACATGGCCCGCGATTTATAAAACGTATATGTGATCGACAAACCTGTCATCCTATTACCATCTTACTCAAAACGGTCTTAAAAAACTGTCAATGCCAGAGAATGATACGAAAAATTGCTCATCCTGATATACAATGCTGTTGTTCAGAACCAAGATTTCAGGAAAAATGTGATGAAAACTACGGTATCATATCACGAGTAACTTATCGGTATGAATTGTTCAAAAGACAATGTATTACAAGAAAATTCGTTGATCAGAACAAAGTTGGTAGGTTTTATTTTCGTACGTATAGAATAAAGAGACGCTCAGTTAATCTCAAGTTTTAACGCTTAACCAATGTGGTGACCCTTAAAGCCACACTGGTAAACGCACTTAAACAGACTAATAAATAGAGTTATGTTAAATATCTGTCATAGCTATAATTTCTAATTGTTTGTCAGGTAAAAATGTATACAATATCATGGACTGTGTTGCAATTTTAAATTTAAGAGAAAACCTAACTACTGGAATCGCGAATACCAAAATGGTATTTTGTGTCACTCACATATCATGCACTTTTATCTCTTTCTGTATATGATTTCAGATGGTATGGTAGTCAGTAGTATGACTTCAAATAAACCCATGAGTTATCTTTTTGTCATTCTAACATGAAATTGAAGATTTAAACAAGTCTTCTGTCGATGTTAACATTCTTAAATGTCTATTAAAAATTTCGTGCAAAAATAGCATTTTATGTTTGACTAGTGTAAATAAAGCCAATTAATTACCAGCCATTTAACCATATTCTATACATTTTCCCACCTCCTGATTAATCTTAACTAGATCCTATTGTTCTTGAGTTTTGCTACATTGAATGTATTTCTGACATTTGCAACAAAGATAAATACAGTGAAGTGTTTTAATAAATAACTAATTCTTTAGCTCAACCAATAAGACAACTGAAACATACGCGAGAATGTCCCTCCTTAAACAAAAAAGTGTTTTCAATTATCTATGACAGCTTAAAAGTCAGTTCATGATAAAATTCAGTCCAAAAACTGGCTACCGAAATGTGAATGCCTAAAGCGTATGTATATATTCTTTCAAGTGAATTCAAAATGTATTCGTTTCCCCCAAAATCATCAAATTAGTAACTATCACTCATATTTCGTTCACTTTGAACGAAAGTATTTAACGGTTTAGACTGTTGGTAATTTGAGAGAGACTTACCAAATTGAAAAGTTGTGTATTTTAATTTGTTCGTCTGAATCCTAGCCTGCCCTGAGGAGAAGGTCACGCGAGGTCAGTGCGACGTGATAACGAAGTTGAGGCCTGTTCAACGGCGTTTCCATACTATTGTTGGTTGTAAATGTCAAGTGAAGATCGAATCCAAAATGGAACCATGTAGTAAGTGGACATTATGCGTTATTAAACATACTCCTTTATACTACTGTTGTGATAAGAAACTAGTAATTTCCCGCAACCTTTTCTGTGCTCACCAATAAATTAACAAACACTAATCACAATAATGATATGCTCCGGATAAGGGTTAACAACAAAGGTAAAGAAATGGAAAAATATATTAGGTTGCACTAAATGTTACTACTATTTTTATTATTTGCCCTTGGGTTCCTAGTGGAACGTAGGGCTTTAATAGCACGTCACCATTTCACTCTGAAGTCCTTTCGACCTGGCCTCAGGGCTCCCCACGAGCTTTTGTTTCTTCCTTACACCATCTCCTCCATGTCACTCTCATATCAAACGCCCAAATCGTCGTTTCCTCTTCAGGTTCCACTCAAGGGCCTGGTGTGCGTTGTCATAAATCGGTCTTTTCAGTGTAGAATGGATGAATAGGCATCCTCAAAGTTTTATATTTGTCTTTAAGATGAGCGACAAAAACTAAGAAACTTAACCTTAAACTTTACTGCTGATGGACATTATCTATCAAATACTGCCTTTGTGGATATACAACTTTTTAAGTGCATAATTATAAATACTTTAAAGCCCGGTTACAGTAGAAGTGGAAAAACTCATGATAAACTTATTACCCATTTACTTTAAGACAACACTTGGCGGTCTCAAGAAGAATCCACTACACAGTGTGGAGTGTAAGGTTTAATCTGTGAATCGCAATTCCAATTAACCAGGTTCACAGACAAAATTGATAACCGTCTTACTACTGTGCTATATAAATGTATACTAATGTCCTTAATGAGTGATTCTAGTAAGTTTAGTTTAGAATTGACAATGTGATCGCCTACAATTTTGTTTCACGTGGAAACCTTTTCATATTACATGTGCAGCATTAAAGGAACGCCTACGAAATCGATAACACTTATAAAAATGTTTTTAGAAATTTTTGTCGACGACGGTCTATGCAGATGCTATGAAGTGGATTTCACCATACTGAGTGAATCAATCCTTCTCTATGAACACATTTCCTGACAAAATTTCATCTGTTAATGTGACAGTAGAAACTGAATACATTGCACATTTTATTATCGAGAATGTTGGGTGATATTAGAAGGACAACTTGCCAAACAGACTTTATCGAAAGGAAAAACTATGATTTTATTGTTTTATTTTTCATGATGAATATATATATATATATATATATATATATATATAAAACAAATTAAGAACTATGCAACTTGATTATCAAGTTCAAAGACAGGGAGATAATGTGAATGTACATAATTTCAGATTAAGTCATCAGTACACTGCTTTCGAAAGTTAGGTTAACAAATATCTCAATGTGAAACTAGTTATTAGTAACAATGAAATCAACCTACTGATCATACTTTAATGAAGCGTTTGTACGATTGGTGAGACAATATGCTTTCATGATGCAAGAAACAAACTGTGAATTAAGTAGTCTTCCAAAAGTGATTAGTTAGCTATTTATCCCTGTAAGATTCGAAAATTCAAATTTCCAGAACAACCAGAATCGAACTTAGGTTTCAAAGAATTGAAAGTTGTGGAAAAATGACAAAATGTTTCATACAGCAGGAACAATGGCGGAATTTCGAATATCATGCATGACACTTATCAGAGATTAAGAGCCCTAAGATTGTTAGCATGCCTTTAAAAAAATCGGAAAAATTAAAATACATTCTTCATACTCGCATGAAGTGAAGACAAGAATAAGAAAAGGTTACCGCCTAACATCATCGATGATCTACCTGACTGCGGTCGACTGCACTGGACTGAACTGGATCACACAAGAAATTTTGAGGAGCAAGAAGATCGGCATACGCCGTTTGATCGATGAAATGACCCAAGAAGAAGATTTGGATTTCGCCGACGATGATGTCGATTTATGTCTGATATCTTGTCGCACAAACTCGAAGATCTACAGGCGAAAACTAACAAGTCGACAGAAGAGGCGAGGCAGGGCAGCGAAGACGGAACGTCCTTCAGGTGAACGTATGAGAGACAGAGGTGATGATGATACCCAACCAACAACAACAACAACAAGCACCAATCACCATTAACGGAGAAACCTGAATCAAGTTATCTCTTTCACCTACCCTCCTAGGCAGCATCGTTTCAACTACAGTCGGCGGCACAGACGAGGATGTCGAAACTAGGAACGGAAAGACAGCAAGACAGGCCTTCATTATTCTGTAATCAGTGTGGAGATCTACTGCACCACACCGCAGCGCAGCGCACCGCACCGCACTGCACTGCACCTCACTGCACTGCACTGCACTGTACTCAGCACAAAGCATAAACAAGATCCGGATTCCCAACATTAATTCAGTCAAGGAAGTCAGTGCTTCTATGTGGTGGTTGAGAGACTTGGCGCGTTACAGAAGGTATTTCCAACAAACTACAGACATCCATCAACAGCTGCCACCTACACTCAGTCGATACTGAAGATCATATCAGATGGGCAGAATGATAAGAATAGGCAACAAGGAACTCAATCCGGCTCGCAACGAACCAACCAAGAACCCACTGCCCACCGAATCTGCAGAAGGAAGTGGAGATGGACTGGATTGGATGCGTCATACACTGAGAAGACCATTTGGGGATATCGAGTGTCAGGCTAGGGCCGTGAGTGGAACTCAAGGGGGGAACGACGAGTTGAGCATCCGAGGAGAGAGTGACATGGAGGAGATGGTGTGAGGAAGAAATGAAAGCTTGTTGGCAGTCATGGAGCCAGGTTGAAATAACTGCAGAGAAGAGAGTGCAATAGAGGCATGCTACTGAAGCCCTATGTTCCACTAGGAACCCAAGAAAAAATAATAATAATAATACCCGCATGTAAAAACAACAGGAAAAGGCTAATTGTTTGAGTCATTATTTAATCAGTAGTGAGTTCAAGCTGATGGAGTGATTGACCGACAAATGTACGTTCATTTATTTGTGTATATTTGTGAATGACTATGTAAAAAACAGTCTGAATGGCCATTTCAGTTGATTTGCATTTCTGTGGGTCTGGTTCGCGTGCACATGTTTTTTCGTAAAAAACTATCCAAGTTGTTTGAACAGTTAGATCTTCTTTTCTTTGATTTCATCAAGGTTCAGCTATATGTGAAAAGAATCAGCTTTAGCGGCTTCTATAAGATGACCAAATGTCATAAATTTACTTTTCTGCCTAACTGGAACTTAAAAAATTAATCCTTTCCATAATACTGATTGTTCAAAGTATAAACTTTTGTTTATCTGCATAGAATTTTTAAAAATATGTTACGCAAATCTTTTTTTAAAATTTCAGCTTGCCCATTACCAGTATTAGTAAAGGAGAATTGTACTGCAGGCAGAATTTCTAGTAGAGTTTGGCGTTTGTCATACAGTCTAAAAAGAAATGAAGGATCTAACAAAGTGGCTTGCGAACAAGAAAAGGAATACTTGTTTAAAGAACCTTGTCGTAAGCAGACATTTTCTTACATTTTTAATATGATATATAGGAAATGTTATCTGACATTTGGATAGGTGTAACTAAGAGTAGAATGATGAGCTTATATGGAAAGTCTTGTTTACCGAATGAAAATGTTAACAGTTTGAGAAGTGTACCTTAGGCATGATACTAAGTTGTATACGGGACTGGTTATTTCCACTGTAATTTATTTCTTCATGCTATTTTTTTACCATGGTTTTTGAAGGGATCTTCAGTTATTAGTTACTATTCGTTAACTTTGTTCATCTTTTCCGATTCGACACCTTTGAACAATGACCTAAGTCCATTTGGACATGCATTCACAGAACAATTGAGACTTGAGTCTCAATACTTTTAAGTCCAAAGTCTCGTTCGTCCTTAAGATTTACTAGAGCTCTAAATTGTCACTTGTTTACGCATTTTGTTTTTCTATATGACAACATGGCCAGATAAAGTGATCGACTCTTCTGGAGATAGTTACTAAACTTCTGGACTTCAGTGCACCATTATAGACATTGAGTCAGATGAGAAGTATCTAACAAGTGAAGCTGTTATATCATTGCACTGAGAGCGTATTTCTATAAATTGTTTTGTACTGTAGTAATGAAGTTATAATTACCTCTTCCGGGGAAAAATGCGGAGAAATGTTAAGTGGATGAAGAATTGATAAACATAGCTGAATACATAATATATACCCAATTCAACATGGTGATTTGTCTCTTTGTAAAGATTTCTACATTGGACAAATAATATTAATTACTTTGGTAAATGTATTTTGCAACGAAACCAAAATATGAAATAAGTTTGTTTTTACTGAATTCTGTTAGTTTTACCAAAATAATAGCAGTCTGGAATTTACAGTATGCCATTTACTTATGACTGTTGAATCAGAGTTCTTCTGCAAAGAGGACTCTGTGATATCAAGTCATTAAAAATGATAACAGATATATGTTTCGTGTGACTGGTGTGTTAACGGTAGGTTGTAGTTTTAATAAACACATGTGATTGTAGTCATAATCTCATTGAATAGATAATAATTGACCAAATTGACAATAGTCTTCAAACACAAAATTGATTCCAACATAGAGCTGTCAGTTAGTGACCAGTCACTGCAATAAAAATATATATTGCTTAAGCTTAGGCTAATAAGATACAAAATAGGGTAATATAATCTGGCACTGACGTTTTATAAGCAAAGTTAATCAAATGAAAACACAAAGGTTATCGTATTTTACCGTATTTGAGAATGGGGCGTTTATTTTATCCACCGACTGTCCAGTGATTTAAACTTCTGAATTCTAAAAGGCATCCAGTGAAAAATCAGGGCATAGCACTGGATGGATAATAATAATAATCCTGAAAGGCTCAGTTTACGCTTGAAATCGAAAGTGATAAGTAACTCTAGACCTCACCCTAGCAATAACCGAAGTAATCAACTCTGCTACCTTAGTTTGCGAAAAAACTATTTTCTCAGCTGTAATAGCCGAACCCGATTGGCTACTTTAGTATTTGCTAGGATGGATCCTAGATTCCATGAAATTGAGGACTAATATGAAATTTATTATAATCCCTTTAGTGGGATAGTATTAATTAAGGTCGGTATACTTGCAGTATGTGTAATCACTTCTTGCAGCCTTTATTGAAAATCGTCTCAACGATGTCAAGAGAAGCTATTATATGCACGCAGCATTAATCATTCATCAGGAAAAAAAGAAACAAAGTTAAGGGGTCGAAAATTGAGTGACTGTAAAGGCTACCCTAGTAACAACTGAGATAATCAATTAGAAGGATATGTTTTATGAAAAAATTGGCTTCAAGATGAAATAAAGAAAACTAATAAGTTATTTCAGTCGTTGTCAGGATGACTTTTAAAGTCACTCCAAAAATTTGAAGGACAGTGATGAACAAGACACTCACAGCAAAGCAAATTCGCACTGTATTGAGGAAAACCATGAATTTTATATCAATACAGAGCAGAATTCGTAGATGCAGATAACAACAGTCAATCGAATGGTGGAAAAAAGGCAGAATCTGGGGACCTTTAATAAATGACAGAATTCCTAGGTTGAGTGTTCGTCATGATTGCGGTATACATCATGCACATCCTTAATACAGAGTTTAAAGGAGTGTAATGTCTTAAAATCTCTGAAATAGTTCCGAACGAGTGTGATTTAGACTATGGGCTTCAGTTATGTTCACTATTTTGTCAGGCATTTCATATGTGTTATACGCACGCCATTAAACTGTAAAGTTTCCTAGCCTCAAAATTTTGGTGACAAAGACAACACAATTCATGCGAAAAACTAGTTTGTGCAAAATCACTCTTTCACTGTTGAGTGTACATCTTATACAGTTACAATTCCCGGCCATGTGTGTACATATAACCGACAAATGGCTCTACCAAATAAAATGACAACATAAGAACTAGCATTCATTAAAAATGCATTACACTCTACACCACATAATGAGTCTCCTTAAAAAGTGGTTTACCAAATTATTATTTATTCCTTGGGTTCCTAGTGGAACATAGGGCTTCAGTAGCATGCCTCTATTGCACTCTCTTCTCTGCAGTTATTTCAACCTGGCTCCATGACTGCCAACAAGCTTTCATTTCTTCCTCACACCATCTCCTCCATGTCACTCTCTCCTCGGATGCTCAACTCGTCGTTACCCCTTGAGTTCCACTCACGGCCCTAGCCTGACACTCGATATCCCCAAATGGTCTTCTCAGTGTATGACGCATCCAATCCAGTCCATCTCCACTTCCTTCTGCAGATTCGGTGGGCAGTGGGTTCTTGGTTGGTTCGTTGCGAGCCGGATTGAGTTCCTTGTTGCCTATTCTTATCATTCTGCCCATCTGATATGATCTTCAGTATCGACTGAGTGTAGGTGGCAGCTGTTGATGGATGTCTGTAGTTTGTTGGAAATACCTTCTGTAACGCGCCAAGTCTCTCAACCACCACATAGAAGCACTGACTTCCTTGACTGAATTAATGTTGGGAATCCGGATCTTGTTTATGCTTTGTGCTGAGTACAGTGCAGTGCAGTGCAGTGAGGTGCAGTGCAGTGCGGTGCGGTGCGCTGCGCTGCGGTGTGGTGCAGTAGATCTCCACACTGATTACAGAATAATGAAGGCCTGTCTTGCTGTCTTTCCGTTCCTAGTTTCGACATCCTCGTCTGTGCCGCCGACTGTAGTTGAAACGATGCTGCCTAGGAGGGTAGGTGAAAGAGATAACTTGATTCAGGTTTCTCCCGTCAATGGTGATTGGTGCTTGTTGTTGTTGTTGTTGGTTGGGTATCATCATCACCTCTGTCTCTCATACGTTCACCTGAAGGAAGTTCCGTCTTCGCTGCCCTGCCTCGCCTCTTCTGTCGACTTGTTAGTTTTCGCCTGTAGATCTTCGAGTTTGTGCGACAAGATATCAGACATAAATCGACATCATCGTCGGCGAAATCCAAATCTTCTTCTTGGGTCATTTCATCGATCAAACGGCGTATGCCGATCTTCTTGCTCCTCAAAATTTCTTGTGTGATCCAGTTCAGTCCAGTGCAGTCGACCGCAGTCAGGTAGATCATCGATGATGTTAGGCGGTAACCTTTTCTTTCTCTCGTCTTCGCTTCAGAGTCATGACTGAGCTTTCCATTGTGGATCAGTCGGCATGTGGCATCATATAGCGCAGCATAGAGCTGTTGAATAGGGTTGATGGAATTTTGTGACTCTAAAATCGTAGTGTTGATGCAGCTGCCTGCCAAATCACTTATAAGTCGACTATTTGAAGGCTTTTTCGAAATGAATGAATTTGGGACAATGTAAAGATTTGACTGCCATTCTATGCTCTGTTCTATGATGATGATTGGCGTAGCGTTACAGTTTGATCCACAAATGGGTAGTTTTTTATGAAGCCAGCCAGCTAGCCAGCTTGTTCCAGTTGTAATTTTGAGTTCAGAGCATTGTTAGTCTATCCAGGATGATGTGGCCTAATATTTTGTTTGAGGTGGACAGGGACAGGAGCATTATTCCTAGCCAGTTCTTGCAAAGGCTTAGGTCTTTCTTCCTTGGTAGTTTGACAAGGTAGCTTTTCTTCCTTCCTTCCTTCCAAACCTTATGTCATAACAATGTAAGCTTTGCGCTGATGTATCAGCGTCTGATGTTTGGTGGTTCTCGAGGGATTCCATCCGATCCTGCTGCTTTCCTAGCTTCCAGCAACTTTACGGCATTCTGGACTTCACTTCTGTATTTGTCGGAGGGTCTGTATTCACTGATAGTTCTGTGGCTGGGCTACTGGTCGTTTTTCTGAACGAGTTGTAGTTTGTGGTTGATTTAAGAGATTTTCTAAGTGGTCAGTCCATTGTTTCCTTCACGTGTCCTCTTTGGCAACTAAGTTTCTTTGACTTTGTTTCATTTGTTTTCTCTGAGTTGATCTCTTCCCAGATAGCAAACTGATTGTCTGATATAATGTTGTCAGGTCTCTCCTACCTACAGCCTGTTCTGCTTCACTTGCCAGTGTGTCATGTAAATGTCTTTTGTCTTTGATTGCACTCTTCTTCACTTCTTTGTCTAGTGTTTTATGGGTTGTGTTCAGTTCCTCTTTTAGTTGTTTATCGCTGCACTACATTGCACTGGTTCATTTTCTGCTTCACAATCTTCCTCTTCCTGCTCTATCAGCTTCAATGTATGCGTCGAGACCAACTCCTTGTCTTGCTTCTTCTTCCTTCCACATCTCTTCCAAAGAGTTCCAGTGTTCACCCACACAGGTTTCCCCAGGAATGTTGCTTAGTATCTCCTATTTTTCCCTGACGACTGGCTGAAGTGAAGATATCCTTTGCAGTTTCGTCATTCAGTTCAATTTCTGTTCTGGATGTTGAACTTCAACCGTGGTCTATCACCAACTTCTTCTTCGAAGGCTTTCAACTTGGTTTTGAAGGTGGCTTGCACTAGACAGTGAGTGGTCTGAACCTATATCTAGTCCTCTTCTTGATCTGATCTTGTATCCAGTAGGCTGCGTCTCCGCTTTCTTCACATTGAGATGAAGTCCATCTAATGTTTAGTGTGTCCATCTGGTGAAGTCTTTGTCGCTTTGTGAATATCCTTATGTTTGTACACGCTGCCTTTAATCAATAAATCGTTGGATGCGCAGAAATCTGCAATTAGTTCTCCATTCTCATTCATCAACTCACCAAGTACTTCTCGACCCATGATTGGTTCTCTTCCTGCGTTGACCGATTCGAGTTTGCCATTCATGTCGCCCCACACATCAGAATTTTGATGTCGTCAACCGGAGTCTTGTCCAGTACTGATTGCAGTTGTCTGTAGAATTCCTTCTTTTTCTCTTCATCCGCATTATTTGTAGGTGCGTAGCGTTGCATTGTATGATTGTGACTTTCTTTCCTTTTGAGTTGAATCATGCTGTCATGATCGTGGAGGAGATTGGCTCCGACTGCATGAGAGCCTTCGATGCTGTTGGGGACGTCACGATAGCCACTCTAATACTCAGTGTGCTGTGTTCGTGGTTTTCATCTGGTTGACGATATCAGAGTAAATCATTGATTCTCCAGTTGACAGTTTGGCGAGTTCACTTTCATCACATCTGCTTTCACAGATTCCTAGTATTTCTATACTATATCTTCTCATCTCTTTTTCATTCTGGACAGACTTGCCAGCTAGCTTCAAACATTGTGTGGACATTCCATGTTCCCCTCCTAACTTTTGCTTTCATCGAGAGAAGAGAAGATACATCGGCCAATAGGCCTCCTGAAGGCTTTCACCAACTGGCGTCATTTCGCCTCTCCAATTCCAGCCAGGAATAATTTTTTTCTACTTTTTATATTCGCTTTGTGCTTTGCAGTTTCTTCAGCAATTGGATTGGTTTTATGGGGTAGGGTTGCTAGCCCTATGTCCAACTGTCCCTCTTCATCCGGGCTTAGGACGGCTAGTAACTAGTGAGCTAGTAAACTAGGCGAGGTTTTAAGAAACTGTAATGAAATAAAATCTTTCTTTACAAAACCGTATTACGATTTATTATATGTTAGCCACTAACTCAACTGTTTCAGGTCACAGTTATTATTTCTTTATGAAAAAACATAACCGACCAGTTAAAACTATGCTGCCTAAATCGACCAATGGTTTGTTACATGTTGTCAACTATTTTCTCCTTCTAGATTGTCGACCACCGAAAATTTCAAAAAGATGTGTAGGTGACAATATTATTTACATGAAACAAGCGGAACATCTCATTAACAGAAATGACAGAAAGTTTTGCGCTATTCGCCATTTCATGAAAAAGGTTCCTGTCACTTGTCGAGTAAATGCTGTACGAGTTAAAGAAGAACAATGTGAAAACGATTTAAAACGTGTTACATTTATGCACGAAACTTTGGACAAAAAAACATGTGAATGTAAAAGTCAAGTGAAAATTGAATATGAAAAATGCGGTAAGGTTAACTGTTGTCTGCTTAACTTAAAGTAGCCTTTGAAAAGAAACTTTATAAAATCCAAATTATTACGGAAAATAATCTAAATATATGAGTTTGAACAGTCAGTAGTGATGAAATAAAAACAGTAGAGCATCTCTAGCTATCACAATAAATAAGTACACGAATCCTTTACAGAGGTATAACCTGGACATATTTAACAGTCTCTTGCCATAGTTCAGATTATTAAGCACCAAGATACTGCCTTTTTGACTAAATGTGCACCAAACACGTGTTCGGACACATAGCACTACTTTTTACATTTGTTAGGAATCAAACTTGGTAGAAATCTGAGTACTATTCGATACCTAGGTCAATGATTTAATCCATCTAACTGCTCAAAAAAACATTTCCATGATCTACGTCAAATTAGGGAAACTGTTCACAATAACTAATGGAAATGGAAAATTCAAGCATCAGTGCTACTATCTGAATAACTATGTGTGTTCAACTTTCAATTATTTTTAACAGGTTGTGAAAAGGATAACCGCGTAACAGAATCTTGTCAAAATGGAGTACGAGTAACTAACAAAGAAATTGTGGTTTTCAGTCAGTCATTAGGACGATGTGTAAAATCGAATGTGCGCAGTGTACATCCCGTAGGTAAGTCAAATTACTAATTTCTTCGTCTGACTGCGAAACAGTTTTGATAACAGTACTATACACTGCAAATTCCAGGGGAAATCATTTCATTCTTCAAATTACTTCGGGTTTGCTTGTAACATGCACACCTAGTGTTTATATTTTTCATAGTTAATGATATCTTACTGCTTATTTGCTAATGTCAGTTGAAATTCAGTCAAAACCTTGCAGTTGATCAACTCCGCTGAGATAAATTTTCTCAGCACTGAAATGTCAAAGTAAGGAATGTATTTCTGAACGATATAGGTTGTCGAACACTAAATAAACTCACTGTTGATTAATTCATAAAATGTTTGACAATCGTTTTGATACTTCTAGATATTTCACTTTATGGAAGATAGCTGACTATATTTATATGATCTGAACGGTCTGACAGTTTTGTCCGCTTAAAACAGCAGAACTTAGTTTGGCACATAAAAGTTTTCATGATAACTGAAGTAAAAGCTTTGTCTAATAAGATAGCTTCAGCATAGATAAACAATTCATGGTCATTCTCCAGTTAAATAAAGCTTTCAAAAAAATATAACATGGCTTTAAGATAATGAGTACAGATTACTTTTGTTCATAATTCTTTTAAAATTTCAACGTGAGTTTCTCATTTCAGCACTGCTCACATTTCGTATTGTCTAATTTTTCTATAATTTTACAGTATGTGCAACTAAACATCAGGTAATCAAATCCAGTGGCTGTGCTATTGAACGTCAAGATGGAATTTACCAGTCAGAAGAAATACGGTGGGAACAAGTATTAAACTGTAAATGTGTCGTTAAACGGCGTCAAATACTTCGTCTTTGCGCATGCCCTAAACCATCAATCGAGAAACAGTGTTTGGATACTGTCAATTTAGTAGTCTACAAAAATACATTTATGCACATAGGTGGTCAGTGCTTACCAAATCAAGAAGTTGTAACCACCGAAACTCGTAAGTCTATAACAGACTGCTAAGTTTGTATCTTCTTAAGCGATCTTTAATGTGCTCAGTATGGATCAGAATACAAATCTGCACCTTACTGCCTCAGACGAAACCTGAGAGAAACAGTTTCTCAACTGAATGTCGTTATCTAATTAAACCACTAATTTCTGAGAGTAACCCAACTCATTTCTTTTTAGTTTGTGATTCATCATGGACTGACATCAGTTAGAGGAACACTGGAAACCTGGGAGCACTGGATAGCTATTTCGTTCTAGTATGGGACACCTTAGCAATACTAAGTTTCATGAATGCTGTCTTTTGTCGAACAAAAGCTCCAGTATTTCATCTGTTTTCATCGATGGAAATCAAAACTAGAAATAAATCTCAGAACAACTTCCTAATATGCACCCAATACACATTGCTGTTTGAATAGTTGGTTAACGTTGATATTTTGTTAGTTTCATGTAATCATTTTGTCCAACTGTATAACCTATTTGAAGCTAATGATTTGAAAATAGAATTAACTATCAAGTACCGACTGACAGGAAATAAATAAGTGATGTTCGGTATACTTGACTTCACTTAAATAGGGTTGTTTGTTGAAACTACAACTTTCGATGCTGATTTCTGTTTTCAATACAGATTTTTTTTTGATCTGATTTTACTGTTCGTGTAAATAACAGAATAAGCGTTTTGGTTAAAACTTAAATCTTTCTGTTTAAAAGGTTATTCACTCAACCATTTATTAATGCACAATTATATATGAATCACAGAAAAAATTATTCCTTATCGGTTTAAGTACTCATCACACTTTCATTCATAATTTAAATATTTTGAAAAAGGACCTAACTGTATTAATATCGCAGATGTGAGCATCAACTTCGTTGGCTGAGAACAGGAGATTACTGTTGTGATAAGACTTACTATCTCCGTTTATTTGATCGTCAGTCGTTTTTTATCTATTTCTATTTCATCTTTGAATGGTGAAAAAAATAAAAAAAAATCTAGTTCATTCTTGTTACTGAGAAATCAGAAAATCTCTTCTCATCACAAAAATGGTCTTTAGTTTTCTGACTTAGTAATTTTTTGTATATGTCTACAGGTTGCCAAGAAAAAGCTCAGATAGTTGAAAGATCAACATGTGAGAAACAACCAATGGATAAATCTGATATAACTAGACCTGTTTGTTTGGAAACACTGAAGATTAGTGTACCAACTATAGTGAACTGTAAATGTAAACCGAAGATTATACAAATCCAACGTCGATGCTGTACAAGTGAACCGAAAGTGAAACAGATATGTGATTCAGTTAGAGGTAGATGGGTCAAAGTGATTGAAAAATATGTCCTGGCACCTGGATCGGTAAGTGCACAAAGTAAAAGGGTCAAAACACCATTATTTTGAGTGTTAGATCAGACACTGAAATAGTGATACAACTGGATGTTGTGGGTTTCAAATTATTCAGTATTACACTATTTCGATAAAGCGAAATAAGAGGGAACTGACTGAAACATTTCCTGACTCCTATTAGTGTTTTAAATACATACATCATGTTGAAATCCAAAAATTGCATAGTCGCTGTAGTTAGTGGACTCATTTTATGTCATTTAGGTTGGTAAGATATTAACACTCGGTCATGAGTTTCGTTAACCAATTTGCGAACTGTGATTTGTACATAAAACACTTCACAAACTTCGGGTAATATATATGGGGATTGTATTGATTTACTGATAGTTTTGTAGACAACTGGCATACGGTGTTAATAAGTAGTCTTAAAAACCGTTTATTTCTACAAAAATCCTACAACACTTTTCATGATAAAGCTTCATCTCTTTGACCCCCGTTTCTTCCATGCATTCAGCCTGATAACTTCATACATTAGATGGATTTCTTGTTAAATTTCAACTGTATACTTCAGTGACAATCTTCGGTCAGATGAGTACTTGAAAGAAGTGTCAAAAACGTACATGTAATGGCAATTATAAATTCATCCGCTCATCGAATTAGAACTTAAGTTGTCTTGATTCCCCCATTAGACGAGTATCAAAATACTGTTGGAAAACGAGCTGCTTTGTACATATATATTATTATAGGAGAAATCGTCACTTATTTGCCGAAACTGCTACCAAAATTAACCAGATTAAGGGACAGTATAACTTGGTACTCTTTATTTTTTCCTCAGACCATGCTTAACATGGAACATAAACACTAACCAGTGATACGTCTGCTCTAAAGGTGAGAAACGAGAAAGGATGCTTGACTTATTCAAACATCCTGACCAGCATGTAACATTTAGTCCGTAGGAATGTAGTACAATATCTTACATTTTCTCACCTCACTCTATTTATACTACTGGTTGAAAACCTTTCGCTGGATATTATCTGCAACAATCAAGGGTCACATACTACAAATTATCGAGGTAAACTTTCACTTAACATTGTTCATTTCAACAAATGGTGATCACCGTCATTCAGTACTGTGGTAAATATCCTTGTTTCGACTAACCTAAACAGTTACACTATTCAAACAGCAAACTTTCTATTTAGTTAGTCTTGTTTCAACGCTGCAATACACGTCGTTGCGAATCCTTCACGTTTAATCTGCTCTTCATTTTTTTCATATACACCTCTTATGTGACCAGTGTCTCAGTGGACCTATATTACTACAATTTTAAGACCGTTGATTACATACTTGTCAGCACATTACCCATGTTATCGTCTGCAGAGATGGATGACGATAACCTGTACTTATCCAAAGATTAAGAAAGTATTGGGTCATTGATTTAGGTGCGCAATCTTGTTTCAATTACCAAGATATCAGCAGCCTCATACATCATTACCCGTCACACAATGGGTGTGACTGGTTGTCTTTTAAACTAGAGTGCGCACGATTGCTGAGGTTTTTCTTATTTGAAGAACAGAGTTCGTGTTCTCCTGAAACAGTCTTTCAAAACCTGGCACTATACTAACCTCTGTGTTAGAATTACTTCCACCTAAAGATGTGCATCCGTATACACGTGTACACTGTTACTCAGGAACTAAATTATGAAAGCAAAAAAGTGTTTCAGCAATCTCAGTTATTTTAAGAATTTGGTTGTTTGACCAATACTGTACACGTGTTCACATGACATGTTATGGGGGTTGGCTATTTACAGCAAACTTCATACGCCTTGAAAATTCAGCATGATATAAAGATTTATCTTGTAGTCTGAACACGAAATACATTTAAGTATTGCAACTGCTGGACATATGTTGTAACCTGATAAACAGACAGTTTACCTAAGTTTACTTTTACTATGAAGAACAAATAATTTCAGCATAGTCATACCCACATTTCCTTACCATAGTGGTACGAAGAAGAGTCTTACTTATTCATTCTGCACCTAAATGGGAATTCTTTCTATGAATACCCTTTCCTTAATTCAATATTTATTGAAATTATGTGAGGATTTCAGCTTACCATGCTTGTTCTGTTTTGGGATCATTGGTTTTTTAGTTATCTTGCTTTGATCATAACTTGAGTATGAGTGAATATTTCAGTATTGGTGTCAAGTGAACTATTCACTGAATTAGATGGTAGAATTGGTCACTTAACCTTACTAGTTCTATACTGCTGACTCAATATCACTGGCCAGTACTAATCCCTGGACTCAGATGAATGAAAATAGTAAAAATGGAAGTGTTATCCCAGTGATCGGTTATTTTTCTACCGCGTACGTACTTAAAAGTGAAACTGGAAAACAAGACAAAAGCATTGACAATATAAACCACTTGTGTGCTCTTTATAACTAAGGTATAACAGATGTTATCTAATATACATATGACGAACACCTGCTCAAGGTTAATTGATGGGTAACTGTTAACCAATATTTTTCTAATGATAAATGTAAGGTTACATTTTCATTCGTTCTGACAGATCTTCAGCTTTATCTTGGTTTAATCATAAAAAAGTGTCCCATAATGAGTTTATTTTAAAAAGTAAAATGTAAGTTGTCTGGACTGCATTTCGCATTTACGCAACACATTTTAAGCAATCTGATCTTGCTATGCTTTCGGTTTCGCCTTCTCACTTTAGGTTTTTCTGTTCAGTCACTCCTAGGAATTTCTCATCTTCTATATACTCTATTTAAGATTGTTTATTTGAGATCAAAACAGTGATGCTGTGTGTTGTCATCTAAACAATCTGATATGGAATCAGACTCTACTAAAGTCTAAGTTTTACTCCTACAACTTTTACATAAATCTCTAAGACGAACATTTATGTGATTAGATTGTTTAAAATGTGTTGTTGAAATGCGTAACACGATTTCGCCAAAACAGTAGCCTGTCTTCGATAACTCTTTCACACATCTTCCAATCAATATCTGGCTTAAATGAACATAAGTGTAATCAAATTGATTCTAAGCTTTTCGTTACTTTCGTGTCACTGGCATCCAGATATCTCATTTCTGAATAGTGACCAGTTACTGTGTTTTGATTTACATCACTTTCTAGATATTATTTAAAAGAGATGACTTAGTTGTATACGATCAAATTCAAAAGGTGACTAGTGAACAACAAGACCAAACTGTTGTTTGTCCACAATCAGTTAGTTACGAAAACTGTGACAGAAAACTGGTCTACTAACCAAAGTCAAAACACACTACAAACGAATCGGATGTGAATGCAAACCAGTGAAGGAAATCACCCGAGGAAGATGCGGTACGTTGCATCAGGTTCAACTTGCATTTCTGTTTGCTTCATTGAATCACAGCTAAACTTCTTCCGTTCTTACTACTCATACATATGATGCTTAAGTTTTTCTGTGAAAAATTTGGCTGTCTATTGTAAAAATCACAGTTCGCTCACAGAAAGTGTTTATTGTCTGACTGAGTAAATGTTCTTCAAATAAATTCTAGACTAATATGGTCAAATCAAAAACTGTCATCGGGATCCACATAGATCGTGACAACTCTTCAGGAAACTGAATAACTAGTATATAACTCATTTTCAGTGAAGTAACGCATGTGTATTAAAAATATATGCCATGAAATGAATGCTGTTTTGAATTTATCAGCAGTTGTAAACCTGAGAAGACACAGAGTCTCTATTGTAAAAGCTGCGAATATAAAGGTGACGTTCACAAATTTATATTCTAAGATTTAATTTAACTACAATAACTATATTTTTCAAAACGGTTTGGATCACAAGTGAAATTCAAGCAAATAAATTTAGAAGAGATTTCTGTGAAGGTTTTTTTGACTTGACTGGACTAAGCATCAGTGTCATCTATGACAACAAGTTTTCAGTTACACACACCAACTAATTTTTATGAACCATATTCAGATAACTGCACTAGTTAGAAACTATGTGTAACTGTGTGTATTTCCAAAGTCAAAACTATTAATAATAGTAACCTCCATTAACTTCAGTGAATAAACTTCTGGAGAACTATATGCACAATGGGACAAATCTACAATTATTAAGTGCATCATTTCGAGTGATTAGCCAAGCACACAGTCCAGTAGGCTATATGCAAACACTGTAACAGAATTATCAAGTGTACTTCACAGTGCTTGTAATCATTTACATGTTTTTCAATATAATAAGGTTGTTACATAGCATTTTTCTACAAACAGGTAAAGACAAGAAATAAAATATGAGAAATAGGATGTCTACTTGCCAAAAAAGTAAGGATGTTTCTATCCTGCTGAATCCTTAAAGACATATGATTTGATACAGAACACTCCAAATCATACAGAAGCATTTTTGTATCTTTTATATTGGAAAGTAAAAACAGTGTCCATGTGAATGACTGAATTTAAAATTCGTTAAATTCAACTCAATGACAATCAGTGAATCTTGACAGAGAAATTTCATTTTAAGTAATCATCATTCACCAAATCATGATAAGCGTTAGAATCTAGAATGTTTGTTTCATCCTATTAACCACTCATCGTCTCGGGTTACCCATAGACCCACTCACTCCAAGAGACTGATAAATCCTGTTGTATATAATAAATGACCGAACATTGCAAGTAACAGCAAGTACATAAAATCAACTATTCGAAACCAAAGATTCTTGTTTACATATCGACTTTGAAAATTATCAGATAAACATGATTTCAAACAATCAGGTGATTCTCAGAAAGCAGGCAGAATCAACACTGCTACCGATTTCTGATATGCTTATTTTTCTATCTTTGTGAACTATCTTCTAATGTTACATGAAATTTGAGGAAATCGGTAGATAAAAGCTTCATGAACTTGTTTGTATAAGTTTACAAAATGCTTGGTTTATTCACTTAGTCCATAATTAGTGTTCCTAAGCTTCAGTTATCCTTTTATGAGCACATGTGAAGAGTCAATTGATTCTTTTTGATTTTTACACTTATCTTAACTCAGCAAAAATTTTGAAAAACACTGACTTTAAGGGAAATAAAAAAGTGGTGTTTCAGAAGAGATGAAAATTTCATCTTAGTATACGACATAAAGGTAGAAATATTCTCATCAGTAAAAGAATCATATAAGCATAATCAATAGTAGAATGATTTCCTTTTAAGCTGTTTAATTATTTCATAAGACTAAAAGCTTAAGTCTGGAAAGCTGCTTATCTCTGAATCCTGGTGCTTTGACTGATTAACCTTAATCCGTGTAGCATTCACATCACCAAGACTTGCGCTGGTTATACTACTGATGAGTCTATGGGATATAAAATTACCACACTTCCTATTACTAATTAGCGAGTTTTTTATCAAGCGTCCAAATACCTATTCATTATAGATAACTTATTGATATCGAACTCAAAAATGAGTAAATTATCGTCTGTAACAGCAATATCTATATCTTTAACTTTATTAAAACTTGTTTCTCAAGGTTGTCCACCGAAGCGACAATGGATTTCTGAATGTAAACAAGATTTCCGTTATCGTCGAACAATTCTGTTCAAACAAATTAATGGAACATGTGTTCGACAGGAGAAAATTGGTAAACAGCGCTGTGACTGCCCGAAACCTATCGATCGTGTTTACTGTGATGGCAATGGACGTTGGGTAAAATGCACCACACAATATGTATACAATTCTAAAACACATGTATGTCGGTTGTTAAAACACTGTGTACGTTGGCATGATGAATGTCCACGTCCTACAAATCGTATCGCTTCACCCTGTAATCTACAAACACAGTTTAAACATTTAATCCAACATGTACAATTTGTGAAGAATAGAACTAGTTGTAAATGTGATGCAGTCGTTAAAAATCAGTGGATGGAATATTGCAGTAAGTAAAAAATAATAATAAGCTTTAAACTTTTAGTTCAAACCTTTGAGATTTTTAAGATTTTCTTAAGTACATTTTCCTACATATTGCTACTGATCAGATAGCTGCAAGGGGTCATGCAGAAGTATTCAGCTGAAGAAACGTAATTCAGGGAAACATGATGACCTATGCACAACATTGTAATTTTTGTCAACTAGATGATGGTGGTGTAAGAATTGAATGAATAATCTAAAGTGGTGGAGAGAAATTGGAATATCTTGTGTCTGATTTGACCGAAAACAATTTGTATGCCACCTATATTGTTGTATCTCATCCTACCTCTTGAATGCTTGACCTAATATTACAAGAACTTGGATATGTGCCTGCATTTGTAATCATGACTATTTATTTCGGTTGTAGGCAGCTGATGAAAATCGTTTGAATTAAAGGATGTCATTTTATTCTGAAAATACTGATCTAGTTGTTTGGCTTTTATTTAATAGATGATAAGAATGACGTATAATGATTTCATCAGTGTGAGTTTTACTGCATAGTAGTCATTAGTGCAGCGCAGATCAACAGTCATTTCTTCTTATTCTCACGATAGCTTTCTAAACTATTTGATTAAAATTTGAGTAGCGCTTTGATAAGCAGTACAATAGAGCATATGATCAGCAATCTGTTGATTGGTTGTTCATATCGGATTGTGGTTGGACGACTCAGTCAGTTTAAACCATTACATGTGACTCACCGCTAATCAGAAATATCTTAAATTCTTTAGTAAGAAATACGACTATTCACTGTCTTAATGAGGATTAGTACAATATGTGTATGTAGGCGTCGTTGAAGGCCTAGTTTACTTTTAGAAATACAATCCCACTTCCGTTTGATCTTTAATCAGTAAACAAATTTATCCAAATCACTGATAATGTTAAACCCAAGCATGACTTATTTATAACAGAGGTAGTTAACATAACTAAAGGCTGATGAGTTTGTTCAGAACAACAAACTTCCTAAAAGGCAGCTAATTCGAATGTTTAGAGATTGGATAATACTTTTAGGTTTTTCAAACTATCCTCTGACACCCAGAACACCAGATTCAAGTTTTGACTAAGTTTGCAACAATTACGTATCTAGGTCAGTGGTACAAGACAAGAGTACGCATTAGTTCCAATATTGACAGATGATGATTTTGGAGATATCAGTACTTTTCTGTCACTAGTTCATTGTAGTATGTATGGTGGTAAGATGTAAGAGATACAGCACAAAACTTCAGTAGTTTCAGGAGCCAAGATGATGATAATAAATATATCTATGCATTGCTATGAATATTGAGAAGTATATAATGAGTTATGCTAAGTTATTTTTGGTCGCTTTTTATGTGTTGTTTCCTTATAATTGTAATTACTTTATAGAATGTGACCAACTGAATCGAAAAGTTCACCATTGTCGAAATCACAACACTCGGACTGTCGGATACTTGAAATATTCACTGGTAAAAGGAGATTGTGTACCGAAACGGATGAAATATTCTCAGCAACTCAGTAAGTAAATGTTCACTAACAAGAATTTTATTTCATCTCCCCACAAAAACAGTTATCACTTTTGCGCTCACTCATATCCGAAGGGTTAGTAATACTGCGTTTCTTAGTCCTAGGTATTGACCAATCCGATCAATCAAGTCAGCTGTCTTATCAAGGTACAAGGAATCAATTTTACCTAATGTAGTTGAAAAATATAAATAAAAAGTCTTGGTATAAGGTTTTATGCTTGCTGATACTCATCAAAAGTGTATATGTTCAATCCTTAATGAGCTAAATTAAAGACCAGCATAACCCAGCCATTCTGTCAGTAAAGTTAATTAGGTTATCCCAGATAACCTCAATGAAACAAGGACTTTATTTTACTCAGAACTCATGAGTGAAGTTGATGAGGAATATGTTATGACCAGGACTTGCAACAGTAGAGTTCAAGTATTTAAGAATATCATGCTAATTTAACCAGATTGGTATGAAAGGGAAACTTGAAGTACAGAAATATTTGCATCTTAATGTTCTAGTAGTTAACTTGTTTGATCGTTACCCAAAAAGATAAGACATTGCTACTTGAATATTTCAATATCTATATAGAATATTTATCAACTTATATAAATGTGAACGCTTGAAAAATAAACTTCAGACTCCACCTCTTGATAGTCGCTCAGTTTCCCCGTAAATGGAAAAGACATTAAGACAACATAAAGTGTATTGTGACGTCAAAAATGTATACCGAATACTACATTTTAAATACATTTACAATGGTTATCTATTTTTGAATACTTCGGAAATCCCAGGAAAATTGAGATGGAGTTCGGTAAATTCAGAATGTTTCTCCAGACTGTTATTTGCCTCCCCCATCATTACCTTCTAATCTTCATTCACGTCTCTCAATTAACGATACTACAGCATCTTTAATTTATCCTAGCTCTGCAGCCTGTGACAACGATCTAAATCCACAGGACAGCATCTTTAATGCCCTTAAACTACGCTCCAAACTACACGTCGGGGCCTTCAATGTCCGCACTCCCCGTCAAATTAGTCAACAGGCTTCGTTGGCAAAGGCTCTAGCAACTCGGGCTATAGGTCTGCGCTGTGTCTGTGAGACTCGCATACAGGATCCAAGTGCGGTTATTCGCCTGACCTCACCCAGTCAATCTGGTGAATCCGTAAAATTCACCCTTCGAGTTTCTAGACATTTGATGGCTAGCTCTTGTGGTCTTGCAGGTGTAGGCGTAGCATTAAGCACTAGGGCAGAAAACTCACTACTAGACTGTATCCAAGTTGACAGTCGCCTTTGCGCTGTCCGGCTGAACAGCACAGTGAGAACTAAAAAGAATAGTGAAACTCGCCGTTGGTTCTTTGTAATCTCTGCTGCCTTTAAACCCACTGACTGCAGTTCGGATAAAGTGAAGGACGAGTTCCACCGAAAACTTGTCACTTGGCAATAGGGGAAGTCAATGAAATGCAATCATTATTCGGCTGTTTGAAGATCTCAGAATGCTTTATTTAAACAGCAGTTTAATGAAAACATTTTTAAGGGACAGTTTTTTTATTGGATTTCATTTTAGCAGTTTAAGTTCTTGTTAACAAAGTTTTCTCTTCTCTATTCTCGGAAAAATTCTCAGTAAACTGAATGGTATTGTCGGCAGAATACTTTAGTTTATATAAACTAAAGAAAAGTTCTGAGAAGAATTATTGTATTCAGTAACTGCATTAGGCTCAAGGCTGAGTCTAATACCGATGAGATTACCAGTTGAAATAACTAAACAGAGGTTGTCAGGACATTTGGGTGACTTTAAAGGTTAACCAAAAACTGATATAATGACTGATTATATTTCTTCATTTAACAGAAAAGTCACAGGCTGGAAGTTTCAAGAGAACTTATTGTGAAAGATATAAATCAGTAAAACGATGGAAATAGGTTAGGTAAGGATTTTCGGAATATTACGTAACAGGGACGAAGTTCTGGGAAGATGCTAGAGTCAGTGAATGAAAATGAAAAAGGGAAAACAAATTACTAAAAGCTACTGAAAAACAGACCAATTTTTTCCTAGTAAATTATAGAACAAGGAAAATCACAATACTATACTTTTAAGATCACACTAGAGAAAATGACTACATGTTTACCTTGAACGCATACTTGGAGCTTGATTTTATGGCCTGCTGAATGCTTCGACTGAATACATATACTTTATCTTCACGCTTATGACGCGATCCAGTCTGTTTTATCTAAGGGACGGTGAATATTATTTCGAAAGAAGCAAACTCTTCTGAATTCACTAAAGGCATGACGACACAGCTGGATATAGTTTTCGTTCCAGCTTTTATCAGACAGATTTAACAGTGTTCTCAAGTGTATTCGGGAAGTGAGCACAAGTTGTGGCCAATATACTCGACTAAAAAGAAGTTAAAGTGCTTTTACAAATTCTGCGACGGGGTGTGATGTATAAACTTGTGCTTCACACATTGGTAAACCTGCTACTGATATGAAAAGATGATGATGCGAAGAATTGTAAAAGCTGAAACACTAACAGCCTGCATTGAAATCTCATGTTCCGGCTAGTATAAACTTAATTAGGACTTATTACCAGAATGGATTCCAGAATGATTATGACACAGAGTTATTCACTCTGTAACTACCGGTTTCGTTAGAAAGAGGAAGAATTTAAAAGGTTCTAGAGGTTAAGACTTGGAATTAAGACAGCTGTCTGATTTCCTCGCTCCAACCAGGGAA